ACAGAAGTTACACAACAAATAAGTCAACATTGACCTCTGGTTTCACTTTGGACACAAACAGCGGTCTCCTAGGTGAAAGTCTAGTGTTTTTATATGCCACCTGTACTGGCTCATAACTGGATTACATACTAATTGATTATGTGGGTTCTATATGCTTCCTTGGCCGCAGAAGCATAAGCTCTAGACATTGTGTGATGTACATATATACATGCAAATCACCTCCATTTCATTTCTTATATCATAACATATTTGTGTTATGCACTGATTCAGGAGGACAGTCCAAGGATGCTGAAATCAATTAATCAGTGAGGTACCAGCAACATTTAGGAAGTGTTGGCCTTGATAAATCAGTATGTTTATTAATGTGATACCAAATATTGTTTTAATTGTCTGAGCCAAGGGAAACATAAGCCGTACCGCTGCAGAGCACAGACCACACAACTGAGGACATGTGAATGTGTCTCAGACATGTATTAATAGGATACTCCACCAGACTGTTTGTATTAACACTTTGTAAACAGCGTGGTGATATCCCAGGCTTTAATTATTGTGTCTGTGCATGCATTATGGTGATCCTATTTTGATTAGACATCCTAACTCATTTTAATTAAATACATAAAATAGAGAATAACAACAACAAAAAGTAAGGGAATCGTAACGTCTCAAAGGCTATTTGTGTTTGATGTTAACGGGCAAGCACAATGCATTAAGCCTGGAATGTAAGTAATGTGCACTTAGACACAGAGCCCCAGCCACACTGTGTGGACAGCATCGTTTAATGTGCCGCAATAACTCTGTTAGGCTGCTGTTTCTCAATGCCTCTCTTTAACCCTGCATTTTCTCTATATCTCTTCTCGTTGTCACCCTCTGTACACATTTCTTAAATGGTCCACCGGTGTGAAAGATGAGAGAGGACACTGCAGGTCTCTTCGGAGCTATTTACTTTGTACCATTCTGTCCCTCTGGTCCTGTTTGTCTGAGGGAAGCAAGATACTGAAAATACTCCAGAACAGTTGATATGATACACTGGTACCGGCTGACTTTTATCTTTGCTGTAAAAAATACTGCAACATGTTGTGATTTAAGAGTGGAGTTGAACTCTATCAGTATAAATGCAGGGACGGGCTCCACAGAGGACCCGCATCCTGGGTGAATGACTGTGAGAGCTGTTGCATGGCAAGATGAAGTGTGTTCATTTCCTTATTTATTGACTCACTTGCTTTTCTCTGAGTGTTTGAAATTAATAACAGCCAGCAGAAATCAGACAGAGGGATGAAAATCAGCACTTTCCCTGCAGTGAAGCCATTCATCAACCTAACGAGGGGGAGAATAGGAGTGGAGGAGGAGAGGAGGGGGAAAAGTGACATTTGGAGAGGGAGCAGAGAGCAGGAGGGAAGCAGGTGCAGTGTGAGGCAGAGGGGGGAGGGATGGGTTGGGTACAGAGGGAAGGGGAAGGAAGCTAAGTTTGTTTGGGAGGAGGAGGAGAGTCATTTAGAGGATAGCAGGGCAGACAGAAGAGGAGGAGCTGCGTGTCACTCTAAAAAGAGAGGTAGAGATAGAAAGAAAGACAACTTTGACATTGGAGTATAAATAGAGAGGGAGGAGAGAAACAAAGAACAGACCGTTTCTCCTATTCTAAGGGATTTGCACAGACAACAAGACAGTATAGAAACTAACAATGATGTGTTTAAACATTTTAAAGTCCATGCCTTTGCTAATTGCTAATGTGTGGATCCTGCCGCGATAGAGACTTTCCAAACAACTATGTCCACATTGACTAGGTTCTTTAGTTCTCTGCAAGTGGCATCACATTTCCACAAACAATCAGCGAAGTACCAGCTCTAACAGCAACATTTAGAGCTAACGATTCAGGTAGATACCATACAGAGCTCTTGCTCACCGACTCCAACAGTAGTATTTTACTCCCCTTCACTGATGATGGGCCTGCCCTCTCCTCAAAGCCTTCGCCCTTGCGATGGATCGGTCCCATGCTGCTCTGCCTCCCCGACAGTCCACCAGAGACCCAACAGTATCTCACACCCAGAGCAGGGCTGACTAAGCACTTACTGCTGAGCCTCTCTTCTCAGAGCGAGAGATGAGCGCCACGCTGCGAACTCTGCCACAGGAAAATAATTAGCAAAGTGGAGATCTGCCCAAACACACTGGGCTAAATCTAGTACCACTTCACATACAAATGCAACCATACATCTTTCCCTGTCTTCCTTTCTTTGCTAGGAAAGTAGAATTTACCCAATCAGGAGTTTTATGTTTACGTTGTATGTTTATGCTTACACATTTGAATTTAATCATTTGTAGTACTAAAGATAACTCCAATGAATAAGGCTACCAGTAAGTATTATCGTCTGACAAAGAAGCGCCCAGCGACAGCTACAAGCTGCTTTGCAATCTTTCTTTGAGTCGGTTCAAACTGAAAAACTTGTGCTTGGTGCCATGTAGTGACGCAAACTGTGCCCATCTTACTGTACATGGATATCAGTATTTTTAACTTTAAAGTTAGACCCCAGTGTCTTTGGTCACCAAGGCTAAATATAGCCAACGCCTCCTGAGCAGTCTCCAGTTTCTCACTCCTTTCCGAGAGGCAGGTGGAGCAGAGAGGAGGAGGAGGGGGAGGGGGGATAAATCAGCCCTCAACTTTTGACCCATATGGAGCAGGAGGTTGTTTTTGTACTTCAGCGCTGCCCCCCTTCTCTCTATGGCCTCTGGTCCCCTCCTCTATCTTATTCATTTTCTCCTCCACATGACAGGTCAATCTGGATCGATTTCATCTGCCCTCGATGACTGAGACCAACATCCTGGCACCCAGAAATAGAGCTCTCTGTGATAGAAGAGCCTCCGACCAAGCATTACCGTTAGCACGCAGCTCTAAGCTGAGTGAGAGAGGATGGGGGGACATAACCATTTGGAAAACATTCACTTGACATCATTTACTGCACTGATGGACTACATTGCTATAAAGAAGCAAAAGACACGGGGAATGGTTGGTTGTTAATAGATGTGGTGTATAGGTGACAGTGTTTCAGCAAGTTTCACCTAAACCACTCTGCCATACACTGGCCACATGGTTGGTGGCCTACCTGTTACAGTATGCTTATGAGATCACACACACACACACACACACACACACACACGCCTGCTTTTGCAATCTATGTTTGCACTTAGCTCTCCTCCTCACAGCCTCTTTCACACACTTACTCTGCATATACACACACCTGGTGTTTTATCTTCGTCAGCATATTTTGGGTCCTTCACCTCCCTGCTGGGCTCTGAACTCCTATGTCTCTTTGCATGGTGAACCCCTAAGGTGTGCCTGCCTTAATAACACACACCACTCACAGGTAGGACACACTGGCACCCTCATACCAACGTTAACTTCTGTCACCAACATCTCACAGTGTAAATACATTTGTGCCTGGAAAATGAGTTTTCTCTTGTATTGGTGGGGAAGAGGCGCAGTGACACAGTGTCCTGCTGATGTCTAGGTATCCCAGGCTGGAGTCAGGACATTCTTTCCCCAGGCAAGGACATGGAGACCTGGCTCTCCGTCTCCATCACTCAGCCTGTCCTCCTGGAGCTACGTGGCCAGACTACTCAACTCCCCCCCACACACACACACACCCCCTCATATGCATGGATTTGCATAAAACAAAGACATGGCTCTGCCTGCAAAGTCTGCCTTGGGTGAAACTGCTAAGAGCAGGATCGACCAGACCACACCACACACAGCCACTCTAAGCTCGGCTGGCAGGTTGTCAGAGCGCAACATCAGTATAGCGCAGCAGCGTGGAAAGGGAGCTGAGATTTACGAGGCTGACTAAGATAGACACCCTCATGGTTTTCCACTTTCATTCGTTTAACATCCGTTACCTTGGCATTGTTTATATTCTACACCCCTCAGCAGTGAGCAGAGGGCACCTAATTCACAGTGATGACGTGGGAGGAGAATCAGAGCACTTAAAACACTTCATCTAAAGATGATTTGTCCTTGTCTTCCGTGATGGCTTTTGTCCTGCTTCGCCTCTTGAAGTTAAGTGGAGCTGGAGAAAGGCCAGCTACTGATCCCACGCCCCACTTAGACACAATCAAGTAAATAACACTGCACACAAGTACATGTACAGACAAACACTTGTGCATACGTACATTCTTCTTCACCAAGGTTCGAAGTCATGAATACAAGCTCAGTCCTTCTCTCAGCCTTATGTGTCATGACCAAGCATATCACGGCGTCCGCTACGGAACAATCAGTGAAGCCATTACAGGAACAATTGGGTTTGCAATATACATTTGCCCAGTTTCCTCTCTGTCTCTGTGAATTGATTTCAGGACTAGAAGCTTATTCTTCACTCTGCATCTCTCCTGCTGTCCGACACACTCTGCTTTGCCTCTCTACCTTTTTTCACACACAATCTGAACATGTGATTTACATTTGGATGACTATAATGTGCTGGTTTTGCTGTCGATTCAGGACGACAGAAAACGTCATATCTGTGTAGTGTGTCGTGTGTCTTTGTGGATTTAATAAGGTGGGAAAATGCATACAGTACTCTGCAAAGTTATGGCACCGAGAGAGATGTGATCGAGAGAGATACTGGCAACATGAAGAAGGTGTGTACTCTTTAGCATATGAATAGGAATTGACAAACTATGGTATATTATGTATCCATTATGGAAGTCTTACATTTATATTATATGCTATAAAACACTCAATATTATATGTGGTGACTGTATCCTCTCTCTATTTAATATGAGTCTAATATTAATGAATAATTAATATGTATTTCATTGTGTAGGTGCATAATAGGAAACAACCTGGCCAGTAATAATTCTGTATATTATAATCAGGCTTGATATTTCTAGACAGCTGTGATCATTTTTTTCCAAGCTTGTTTTACAAATGTGACTTCATTCACTGTTATGAAGTTGAAATTACAGGGAAAAGACAAGCACAATAGATGAGAACGATAAAGAAACAAGTGTTTTACCTCAGGGAGGGAAGGGCACGGAGGAGTGGGGCTTGAAATCACAGATGGAGGAATTTTCTCGACGACCTAAAGGAGCAGATAAGATTGGACAAAACATATAAGAATAGATAAATGAATATCAAGGCAAACACACATGCTGTCTTCTTCTCTACCTCCTTTGTTTCTTCTACTGCGCGTGTCACTCTCTGCCACCCTGTCAGGCCAACAAACAATCACAAAGAAACAAGTAGATCCTCTCCGAGCGAGATTCACTCTCACCGTGTCGGTCTGGTGAAACACAGTGCATGTATCATAGTAAGCGTTTGATGCGGAGGGAAATGTAAAAATTTGCATGCAAATAGATTCTACAGGCGGAACTCATGCATCAAAACACTGTAACTACAAGAGACAAAACTAAAATATCTAAGCACACAGTGTGCCGTTGCACAGAAAAGGCGATGGAGTTTTATGCAAAGGCCTTTATACTCCTGCTAATCTCATTAAATTACATTACTAATTGTTCTTAAAGGGAGGGAATTTATCGTACAGAAAAATGGAGGATGTTAATGTCGGACTCCCGTGCTACCCCATGGCGAACACTGTCATAAGCACCACCCTTAGAACACTCACACGTAAGCATGTTGCTCGAGGCATCCAAATATGATTTTTCATATTCCCTAAAAATGTTGCTACACAAGTAAAAACATTTGCTTAGCTCTTCAGTTTCTGTGCACTGATACCAAGCAGGGTCGCTTTAAGACGCGTTGGAAAATGACAGTTGAGGAAATACTTTGCCTATACACTGCAGTGAAGGAAATTTAAAATAATTGGATTTTCAAATAAATGCCACATAACTCGATTCTATGGAGTATATAGAACCTGCAGGAAAACAGCAGCGATGCAGCATGGTGATATTAGTACTGCTAGCAGAAACAGAGCCGTTGCATCTAAATCACAATGTGTAATCTTATATTAGAGTGACAGATATTTCAAAACTATCTAAACAGTTCCGAAAAGGCAAGAACGCATGTTGGAAAAAGGACAAAACGGCCTCTGCGCCCACAAATGCTAGAGAGCTGAATCAAGGATAAATTGCTGAATATTGATCATCGTTCTTCTCTATAAATGACTAAACCATCACTGAATGTGTTTTCTCCATATTTCATTAAAAGCATGCATTAATGATAATAATAAATGAATAACTTAAAATACTAATAAAACCCAAGCTGCATGTATTGAAACTGTGACTTCTGTCATATTTTATTTGTAGAAACTTGAAAAACACATGCTACTTTGAAAGACTATAATCCCTCATACAGTTTTCACCTTTTATGCAATGCTACTGCTGAAAGATGGTGTTTCATTTATTCAAGTCACAGGCTCTTGGTTTGGGTCCATTTACAGACATATAAAATTACCCCAGCAAGTCCCGACCACCTCATTACCAACATAACCTGCAGCCAGTCTTTCAAGGACAACTCTCTAATGACACTGCGCGTTTCCGCTTAATGTCTATTTGAAGCACACTGAGACTCTCTGCCACAAAGAAAGAAAGAAATGCATAGAAAGAGCAAAGTGTACTCTGATCAAATAAGCTGCTTAATTGATGCCTGATGTCTGTTTAATTCTGACGGAATGAGTGTTTCTGTACCGACCTCTCATATACTGTACACTGTTAAGTGAGAGGAGTTTTTTTGTCTTTGTGTCTGGTCACATTCACAGATGTGGCTGCCACCTGGTTGTGCTGGGACATCTGACTTCTGTTACTGTTGCACATCCAGTATGTCCTGTATCTGCATGGCTGTTTTTCAGAACCAAACTAATAAATCCTCAAAGGTTTTGTCACCGAAAAATAATCTTACAAAATCCTAACTGTATGATTTTTCTACTTTGCTTTAAGTAGAAAAGCAAGCAAGTGAAAAAAAAAGAACTTTTGGACTCATTGCACTACAAGAGAGAGGATTGATAAACATTTTCCTCAATAGTATTTTTCAGATGTTATACTATGTTCTTTTTAACCTTGATTAAAGTGTCAACTCAAGACTGAGACTGATAATCCCAGTTTAGCACTCCCAGCCTCCCAGAGTCTTTTGATATTAATAGGAGGAACAATGAGTTTAGCTTACTAGCCATAGTTGTTTTGTTGTATCTTTGCAACACCCTCAATGCAATCCTTGAATGATGTGGGTGTGAGAATAACATGAACTGCTGTCTGTGACCACCATGGCCAGGAGCCATGTGTGCCCTGCTCTACATACTTTTATGGAACGCTTGTGCTGCATACATGTAAGTACGCAAGCACCTTTTTGTGTAAAACCTACCATATATGAGTCATCAACTAGGAGCTAGGTTAACACATTACCTAATAACATAGGTTTTACACACACAAAAAGAAGGAACACTTCGACTGAAAGTTAGTTCTGTGTTAAAGTAATTAGAATTTGTTCCAATCCTCAAAAACGTACTTGTGTAATAAAAAGAAAAAGTTTGCTGCGAGAGTGTAACTCTCTCAGACAGTGGTGAAATACAGGAAATGGGTAAAAAAACAAATGGCAGTGACTGGTCTTGAATTTACTGTGTAGTGTCCCATGTCGGATGTGCATGTACATCTCATTCAGTGAGTTCTAGGTGGAGGAAATGAGCTTGAGCTCCCCTGGGCACGGATTACTCTAATGACTTTGAGAGCAGCCTTGTGCGCTGCAACTTTTGACCTCTGCTCATCCTCTTCTCCAAAAGATGACAAGAGACACACACATTCACAGACGTATTCCCACACATTTACACATACAAGCACACATATTACCCACACACAGGGGACTAATCGACCTTGCACACGGGACGGCATGAGTTAAGAGATGCAGAATCACACACAAACAGCAAGACACCAGATCTTCTCTAACCCTTTCCCTGGCACCACGTAAAGCTTCGAAGAATTCAGACCCCCAACCTGCTCTTATTTTGGGGTCTGTCAACTGGCATACTGCTACTTAAGTGAACATTGTGCTGCATCTTATGCAGTAAGCCCGCATAGCACCAACGTTCCACATAAGTGCATCATTGGAAAGTCGATAGATTTATCACTAACACAACCATTGCACACTGGTGCCACAGACATAACGGGAAACATCTTTTGCAAATCAGATCTGTCGTCAAACAAATGTCATTCAGCTTGAAGACGTAAGTATTTGAATAACAGAAATGCCAGAATAAAGAGAAACACAAGTAGCATCATGCTGTGAAACAAAAGGCAGGGGCAAACATATGTAGGGTCATTTATTGTTTGTCTGCGGATGTGTGTTTGTGCTGGTGCGTGCAGGCTGATGAGTGTGTTTTCATTTCTAGTCTCTGTGGTGAGTGTGTATTCAGTTCTAGTGGATGGATATTAGAGATCTAACTAGTCTATCCCAATAAGGAAACAATCAAAATATACAAGCTAAAGAGTCAAACAGGACAGCCTGAAACAGAAACCAACTTTTCATTTTTTACGTGCCACTCCAAACGCATCAAAAAACTGAAATGGAAAGTACAGAGACATGTTCTTTAAAGAGAGGAAAGGCAAACAAGTATGCTCTCCAAAAGCATTCAAAACATGTTTGTGGTCAATATGAAATATCAAAATATAGCAGCGCTACTACTTAGATCAAATAGATGTAATTAGATAAATTGAGGAAGAAGGAGAACGGCTTGGCTGTAAATTGCATGGTGTGTGCATGCAAAGACCCAACACGGGCACAGCTGCACGGAGCTGCACTCACGATTTATCATCTCTACATCGCAGGAGCCAGTGGCCCACACCACTATTAATCATCAGCAAAATCATTTAATTCAGCCCAAGCCTGACTATTGTCTCAGTCTCTCCCTCACTCTGGGCAAATCAGCCACCACAGCAGCAGCACGCACCTTAGAGGAAGTCACACAAAACAGAGTGGGATACAAGTGTTGGGTTAAAACTGGCTCTCTCTCTTTTTTTTTGAGGAAGTGTGAAGCACATCATCCCTGGCAGGTGGTGCACACAAGGTTTCTGTACATTTAACAAGTATGCAATTTATAATGACAAAGACTAAGATAGAATAACAGTTGATCACTCAGTGTTTTGTTATCAAACTGACACTGTGGGTAATTTTCATGAAAGGTACCCTTTGTGTATATCCTTTACTCACAGCCGTGCACACACAAACTGTGGCTAAATTGCAAAACTAATCCAGACTGAATATGTCCTCAGAAACCTTAGTGTTTCTTCAAAGTGGATTTTGGCACATTGGTCTTCCTGTTTCAACAAACAAATTGTCCTGGAACAGTGAAACAAGATGCCCACAAGGCTGTTCCTTGTCCCAGAACTTACAAAATAACTTTTCCTCTTGTGTTTTGGAAAAGTGGCCTATTCAGTTTGTGCACCAGTACAGTGCAAAAGTTATATTGAAAGAAGACGAAGTCAGATGACTAAACAGCAACTGCAATGCACGACTGGGTACAGGCGCTGAGCCTCTTTCTGCCCACTGCAGCGGCTGACTTATATTGGCACCTTCTCCAGCGCCCCCTCACATGCCTGACATGGCAGTGCCCTCACTACAACCCCCTCACCGAGAGCATGTCTTCTCCAGGCCCACTGACAAACAGGATAAAGCAGGGTAGAATTGGGAAAGCCAGACAATGACAGGCTAATGACAGTTGAGCACAGTGTCTGAAAAACACAGACAGCGGGCACACTGCACATACAAAGATCAGGAAGCAAGCAATGTGAAAAAGGGCAAACGGATGGTGCAAATATAGAACATGCATATCCACAAGAAATTCACATAGAGATGTCATCCTCACATACTACGTCCTCCAAGGAAAACCCACACACATTCACATTAACACCTATTTAAGTTCACAGACAAGTATGCACATCCACACACACAAGCACACACAAAGAGAGAGAGAGAGAGAGAGAGAGAGAGAGAGAGAGATTGACTCACATACACCAATTGGAGGTCACATTCTACAATAAATTAACATAATGTGATTATATTATACAAAACGGTATTAGGCTTTCACAGATGAGTATGTAATTTGTAGACCAAAATATTTTCAAATAAGACATTATTTTATCCTACATTATGATTTGATTACAAAGATGATTTAGAATGGAAATTGAGTTTGTTTGAAATCGTATTTGTTGCCTAAATGGTAACAAATAACATTTCATGTCGTTTTTATGATCATTGTGAAAAGGATTCGCAGTTAATTTAGGGATTTGTATGATTTTTTTTTTTTTTTGAACGTTTATCAGACAATAGTGTGTTGTGACAAAAGTCAAATGTGGGCCAATCTTTGTTTGATCAACTCAGTAAAACCGGACCGGATTGATGCTGCACTCGGATCAAAATGGAGAAAGTGTCTCGACCTGAAATGCTTTGCTTTTTTTTTTTTTTTTGCTTTATCGGTTTGGGTTAATTTAGCAAATTACTTAAACAAATATATGTGTCTGATTATTTTAGGGTGGCGCGTTTTTAAATTAGCGTCGTAAAAAAACACAAGAAGGGCGACAACAGCTAATATAAAAAGTGTTAATATGTAGTGCAGTCATCTCCATCACGGTTTGATTCTAGTTTCATTGTGTTTCAATCACAAAAGCAAAAACAAATAAATTCAAGACAAGTCAAAGGAAAAGTGAGAAACTTATTGAAGACAATTACATACATTTATTGCATATCATTTAATTGTATGAAATGAAAAGAACGAGCACATATGAACATCACATATGGTTAGTGAGTGAAATAATTTTGCACAGCAAAATCTATATATATATATATACTATATATAATATGAAGTATTAATTAACATATTTTCAAGATTTATTGGCGAATGGTACTCCCTCATTTTGTACATGCAGGGTGTCAATCCCTGACGATCTAAACAATGTCCAGACATTATTCATTATAATAATTGTTATTGCTTTGCAAATATTGAGTTCGTTTAACGCAAAACAACAGTCTCCTGAACTGATAATAAAGTATCAAAATGTTACGATCAAGTCGTAAAAGAATGTGTGATGTGGCGAACACTAACTTTTTCCTTCCACGTGATTTTTAGTGCATTTCAGTCCAGAATACACCAGTACGTTGAAGACACACGTTCCCAAAAAGCATGGTAATTTACTTTGACTTCTCCAACAATACTTTTTGAAATACAATATTGAAATGTGGCGATCACCAATAAAGCTTTCACACTTCGGTTTGAAGCACATGCTGCAAAAGCGTTGTTTATGAGCTGCACAATTGCACAAACTGGAGCCGAGCCAATTTCTCTAAACCATTGTTTAAATACTTTTGTGCAGCAATCATCTTCATAATTATTATATCAATCTAAATGATTCAACCTGTAGCAAGTTTCATTTTGCAACTTTTCAACTTTGTACTTAAATTACGCTTTAAAAATGGTTTAAATGTTGTCAAATGCAGAGAGGAATACCTTTAAATAACAATATAGTAGGCAATAGGCATCAGACTAATCTTCCAGGAAAGGGATCGATGATTTCCTTTACAGTGAAGTCTTTTCTTTTCCCTCTCGCATCGGGATCCCCGCTGATCAACTTCCTTAAGAAACGCATAGGGCATTGACTGCAGCCTAATGACAGCCGGTGGTGGTGCACTTCAACACAGCTGAAATGCACTTGTATGAGGGGTTGGGAAGTCTTGTCACTTTTTTGTTGCTGTCCCAAAAAAGTGAGGAGGCCATAAATGAAGTTATGAATGCCATGCTGGAGTCATCCGACAAGAAGAACATCTTCAAGCACAGAAAAAAAAAAAACCATACATGTCCAGCATGCAGGGAAGTTCAATAAGACATCTCTTTAAAAACAATGAATAGTTTGTAATGAATATAGTCTTTTGTTGCTCAAAACAAAAGCAAGCAAACGCATGAGATGAGGTGGCGTCAAACGGCAGGCTCGCAATCCTCCAAGTTTGGCAAAAAAAAGGAAAGGTAAAAAAGACCAAAATCATATTGTTGATGGATGCAGTTTGACAGGAATCTGTACACTGGAGTATACTTAGTGCTTGCATGCACACTTCGTATACTGCAGCATAAAGTTAGATTAACTTTCAAAAATCAGATTTTACTCAAACACTGCAAATCTAAAGAACAACGATGAACAAAAGACAAACAGGCTATGCATAATATACTGAGTATGATAGCAAAACGTTTTCCTAATATGCCTCTCCGAAATTAAAAACACGGAGGACAAAGCCCTACAAATCTAAAAACAGTCGCAGACGTTAAAAATGTATAAAATAAAAAAGTAAAAAGTTGACAAATTAGTTCTTGGTCTAGTAGTTTTTTTCGCCAAATGAAAAAAAAATGTTTCATGAAAACTTTTGTAAGCGGGGGTGAGTAACCCATCTCATTTTTTCATCTGATTTTTTTTCACGATTATGTCGAGACTCACATGAAAAACTCCGGGGATGAAGGGTTGTTGTCACTGCTGGATCCATTTTCTCTGAAACCGTTGCTGATGAGCTTCTCATACTTTTCTTTGTACGCGTCTCTCTCCCGGACCAGCCTGGAGATCTCCTGCTTTAGGTGATCGACCTGCTGGATGAGATGCGTCTTCTCTCCCTCCAGGACGTGCCGCTGCTGGACTCGCTTGTACCGGCAGGACTGAGCGTAGCCTCTGTTCTTTAGGGTCCTCCTCTTCTGTTTCAATCGGATCACTTCTTCCTTGGTGACCCCTCGTAGCTGCCGGTTGAGCTCCCGCACTGACATGCCGACCAGCTGGTCGTCTGAAAACCGGTCGTCCAAGCGCATGTGTTGGTGAATCGTCCCAGAAGTGCCGTTGGACTGGACGCCGGGTGCTTGGTGGTGGCTGTTGCTGTGGTGGTGATGGTGGTGGTGGTGCTGCCCTCCGTTCTGAGCTGCTGCCGCAGCGATAACTGCCGACACCACCGCCGCGGCGGACCCCATCTCTTCCCCGGCCATGGTGCCTCCTGCTCCGGCTGCGCCAGCAAACTGCTGGCCCCTGGCATAGCCATCGAATGACTGGAGTTGGTGACTGCTGTTGATCAGCGCCTCGACTGCGTCTTCGGGGCTGAAGCCCAGCGCCTCTGGATTCAACTGCTGTTGATAACCGGACATCCAGTAGAAATCCTCTATGTGTGTCTTCTGCTCGCTCCCCGAGCCCGGACTGGGCTCCGAGAAGCTTGGGGAAGGGGGCACCGAGCTGCACGGCGTGCTCATCGGGGTGGAAGACAAGGATCCCCCGGCGATAAGGCGACTGCACTGGCTGATGTTGCGATCGGGCTCCACCGGCTCCTTTTTCACTTCAAACTTCATCAGATCGAAGTCATTAACATATTCCATGGCCAGGGGACTGGTGGGCAGGTCGGAGTTGCTCATTGCCAGCTCTGATGCCATCCTCTTGCTGCTGACAGTCCTCCAAGTGGGGTGAAGAGCAGCTGTCAAACTGGGTTGGTTGGGAAGAACGTGAGCCAGTTTGATTTTTAAGCGTTTGTCTTGATTCTGAAAAAAAAAAAAGGTTTTCAGCGTCCTTTTTGCAGCCGCGGACTTGCAGGCGTGTGAGAGTAGTTTTTCTTTGCAGAGTCTATTGCACAGACACACCAGTGCCGCGCGCACGAGTAGCGGGGTCCCGTCTCAGCATTTGGAATTCGGCGGTTTTGTATTTCAAACATTTAACACTTTACGGTTTCTTCATTAATACATTGCACAAGCGGAGAGGGAGAAAAGACGAAAGTAGGGGAGTGGATGCAGCCTCGCGCGTTACACGGCGCTCACTGGTAGGGCAATATTTTAGAGGGATCACACAGCAGATGAGTTTAAGAGCATTGTAGCTGCCCTGACGTCAGTCTGGAAATAGGAAATTGACTGGGACGAAGAGCCAATAGGGTCTCACACTCCGAGAGCTAATTAACATATTAGTAGCCCTTCAGAAAAAAAACTTTTCGCAACTGTCAAAGGCCATCAGCTGACTGTCAGCTGGGACACAGACTCTTAACTTGTTGACGACTATTTAAATCGCCTCTTTTATGTGGGGCAACAATTGATCCACGATTAAAATCAGTGAAATGATGTGAAGCGTGCATGCTGCAAAGTAATTAACATACGACTCATTGTGCAGGTCATAGCGAGAAGAGAACACAATGATTTATAGATCGAAAGTTGAATAAATAGATTCATGCATCTAGACTTATCTATCGTGTATCATAATTACTTACCTTTCATTGAATAGAGATATTGTAACTGTTATCTGTGTGACTTTTATATCTTGCAATAAGCCGGCTGTCTTTATGATACACTGTTATTTTTCTCTCCTAAAAAAAATCCCTTAAACTTATTAGTGACATTTAGTATTTCTGTTCTGTGCCATGTATGACAATGTTGAGCGGTAACTTCTGAGAGACAATTGACCAAAAATATGTAAGATGTATCGAAGAGATTCGTCATGCCTCTACGTAACATTATAAAACTCAACACTGCCACCTTTTGGACACAACATTGCACGAGCTTCCCCTTTCAATCACTATATCAGTCCACACAAATTCCAGACAAAGAATAGAAGATGTTATAAAGGGATAAAAAAACATGCATACAATTGATGTGTATCTTTATTTTCTTTATTCATTCAGTAAAAGACACCAATACTTATGAATTTCAAAGGAGTTATGCAAGAAAGTGGAAGTAAATACCATGAACCCAGTGTTCCATCCAAACTGATATTATGTCCCACTTGCCATAAAAATCACTTTATCTAAGCACTAGCCAGGCGTTGCTGTGGAGTCATATAAACCACTCTTGTATATTGCACTTTATCTCAGTTCAGAGGTCTCACTTTTAATTGACTCATGTACAACAGTAACAGAAGTCAGCCTGGGTATTTCTAGTTTCCATGAAACTGTGTGTTGTGTATAGTTAGAGAGTCATATGGGCTTAGCCATGTGGATCAAACAGTGTTTGCGGGAGCATACAAGTACAAGGACCATTGTGATGCTTTTTCTAAATTCTTATTTCATACATTCATCGAACAGACAAATTAGTTCACTGCTGGTGTGAAGTGATACTGATACATCAGCAGACAGGCTTGTGAGGGAGTCCCTGCTATAGAGCCACCTCATGATCATTTATTTTAGCTTGCTTCTAATGCATTAGCCTAGATTCATCAACAAAGATGACTTTAGTTTAGGATTCATACCCCTAAGTTTGATTTCGCTATTGCATCTGCATTAATGGCAAAATGTAATTAACGGATGACACATGGCAGTTTACTCATTCAATAATAATGCAATTTGTTTGGAAAAAGAGTGATGTAAGCTATACTAAGGCTGGGTCTCGTTGACCAGTCAAAGTGTTGATTTCTTTTCTGGCCTCTTTTGACATGGTGCTGACAAATAACCATTTCTTTCCTGTGACAAAAGCCTATAATCATAGTCTCTCTCTCTCTCTCTCTCTCTCTCTCTCTCTCTCTCTCTCTCTCT